ATATATAGTTCCATATTTTCCTTTGGTAATTTTTAGACTACACATGGGTTTRTTAGAAAGCGTAATCCACATTTAACCGCAAAAATGATTTAAATAAACTGTTATTACAAAATATCGGTAGACGATGTGATATGAATAAAGTTTCATAAAATAATAATATCTTTGTTAACCGCATTAATACTACACCTAGATGTCTGACTTGAATTCCATACAATGTATAGTTGCTGCTCTGTTCGCACTTATTCATATTTTGAGTAAAAATAATCACCATAAGTAAATACAAGGTGGTTTTCAAAAACGCTCACCTTATTTTTACGTTTAAATCATGAATAAGTTCAAATTTTTATTTTTGGAATTTTCAAATACCTACTCTTCATAAGCCATAACCATGTATTTAAATTTATACTTGAGATTTTTTGTGATTCTGTAAGAATACAAATTTCTGTTTTCAAAATAAGAATTTAAACATTGATTTGCGAGAATTTTTATGTATTTACAATACAATATGAACAAGAAACTTTGAGTTGTACAATTTTTTAAGCTAAGGATAATAATATGACGTCTATAATGATAATTACTAAAATTACTAAATTAATTTATTTATTAACATAAATATTTTGTAAAAATGGTCTAAGTATAATAAATACTAACTACAATACTACATATAATCTTACATATAGTTTATGTTTTTGTAAAACCATGTTTAATAATAAATATCTTTAGCATGAACATTTTAATAGCTCAAAAACTGCACATCAAATTTTTGTTTTAGATACATAAAAATTATCAAAAAAGTCATCTACTAAATARTTTTCAATTAAAAACAGAGATTCTAATTTGAAAAATATAAGTTTTTCATGACATTCTTTAAGTGGATCAAACAATTTTCAGAATTTGAAAATATGGCTTACAACTATAAAATTCTAGGAGTAGGAATTTGAATAAAATATTTAGAATGTGCACATGATTAAAATGTCATCTTATATTATATACGCATATAAATTAGGTGATAGCCAATAGTTTTAATTTTATAAAAGCTAATTGATCTGAAAAAATAATGTTTTTCATTAAATATGTGTACTCATAATAAATTAAAATGAATTTATGAATAAGAAAAAAAATGCACTAATATTTATAAGAACCTATTTAAAATATATACACACGCAAGTGAATAACGAAAATAAATAAGTTATTCGCGTTTAATTTTTCAGCATATTTTCAATGATAYCTAAAAGCCAATGTGCCAATATTAATAATAATAATACAAGCCCTATAAATATTATTTTCTATACAAACTTTTATGTACAATATTATAATATACAGTATAAAAATGTCACGGTTTCTGGTTTTATTCATAATAATATTATTATATTTAGGTTGGATAAATTGCATTAACCGTTAACGTACAATATAATATTTTTGTATTATAATATATTGTCAGTATTCGCATAGGTGACACATACGCAGAACACAGTTTTCATAAATAAATAATGATATAACACATAAGTAAGAAGTATTTTCTCGGTACAATGACCGAGCTGTGACATTATAATATTATTTATATTATTGTTATTTTTGTTATCTGYATCTTTTCTTCTCAATTTGTCAAATGCATACCTACCTAATAGTGTGCTCGTTCAGTTAAAAGATTTTTGAATATTTTTCCATCCAAATACTTTTTGGATGCACGGTATTTTACTATACCAACGGAATGTTAATATATAAAATACAAAAATATTAATACATCATTACTTATTTATTATGAGATACATGATAGAGACCACCGGTTATAACCTGATCGATTTTCAAATTCAATAAACGATTTACTGAAAGGATTTTAAAATTGAAATTGTTGTCATAATGTATGGCTATAGTTATTATAGAATACCTATATTATTTACTATATAGCATAGTCGATTTAAATCGATTTACTCGAATTTGAGTATACTACTTTCATTCAAATTCTCAGGACGATATTATTTTCCCCTTGTAAATATTTATGTGTGATAATATCAAATTTTACAAAAAAATAAATTTGATATCATCACACATAAATATTTATAAGGGGAAAATAATATCGTCCTGAGAATATTGTCCTAACGCTACATTATTACTGTATTACTTTAAACATATGGATTTATTATCTTAAGTAACTTTAAATGCTTAAAAATAATAAATGTTTTCATAAATGGTCCATTATACACGACACATCATGTCTGATTGTTTGATTATATTCTCATAATTATTTACAATGTTAATATTATTTGAATATTTAAATCATAGTAAACAGTAATATAATATAACAAAAGTTATTAAACTTTTCATTTATAATTATGTAACCTTTCAAAAAAAAAAAAAAAATAATATAACAAAATGCTTATTTTTATTGTCTTTCAGTGCATTACACTTTTCATCCGTAAATGTACTGCAATATTGTATTCCTTGTTACCTAATTGTTTTAATTTGTATAACAGTATACTACATTATTTTAAAATGCAAGTATAGTCTTTAATATAGTATAATAATTGTTCTTCCATAAAATTTAACCAAAATAAAATAGGTATAACGTAGGCACAAAAAATTAAACATTTATAATCATTACTGGTTTATTACGATRTCTTTGTCATGAAATCCCAACAGATATTACAATTTTAATTAAGTGTACGAAACAGTAACTTTACTTTTAATATATATATWTTTTTTTTT